AACCCTATATGTAATAACCAGAGGAGCAAATTCATAAATATGGAGCAATCGGAGAGCGAAACCATAATCAATCTCAGAGGGCGACTTCACAAATATAGGATTAAAGCAAAGTAGTTATTCTCAAGATGATGAGAAAAATGCGATTTGTTTTCTTTCCAGCTTTGATAGAATTATTTTCTTAACCGGTTCTTCATATCTAAAGAAAATGAAACACAAATATCTTTTGCTCATAATTTGAGAGAGGCTCAAATACAAAAAAAAAAAAAGTCTTTAGGCAAATTAAAATCGAAAATTGTATCACTGATCACCAGGAATTGACTTGATAATGTCAGAATCACCTGAAACAAGTCAAAACACAACACAAAATCATTAGTAGGATCTTTAGACTATTGATAGATCATTGAAGAACCAAAATAGTTTAATTTGTATAACAAAGTAGTTTCACTAGTTTTGTTGATTTACCAGGATCAACGATGCTCAGACAAGAAACACGGAAGTACTTTCCACAAGCTGTACCCAAATCGACGTTATCTGAAACCCATCAAGATAGATGGGAAGAAGAAGAAACAGAGTCAAGCAAATGTGATACTTGAAATAGATCAACGAGCCTTCAAGATTTCGCTACTTGAAATAGGAAGCTAATGTTGAATAGAACAACAATCACGAGAACGCGTAACGCCTTGTTGGATTATATCAAAGAGTAAGAATGTAAGCTCAAGATTGCGAAAATCAGACAAGCAACCTCCAATTCAAACTGAAATCCCATAGATTTATGGATTATATCATAAGAACAATCAATTTTAGGAACTGATGAAATGTTGAAATTGTGCAAGAATGTAGCTTTTGTAATTTGTAATAAACACATACAGAGACACAAATAGCAATCGTGACTTAAAAGAAAGATCAACACTTTACTTAACATTACACTTTCCTCATCAACCTAGTGACCTACACAAGCAGATTTATCACACTTTCTCTACTTAGGAAGTTAGGATTATGCATTATCAGTTACGAAGCCTAATGAACCACCTAATAAACACAAACAAGGGCATAAGTAATCTCTGAATCTATACGAGCTAAAGAAGAAAAGAACTTACTTCCATTGTAATGGTGAACACCAACTTTGGCGAGCATTGCGTAATACTCAATCTCTGATCTTCTCAAAGGTGGGCAATTGGTAGAGATGAGGATTAGCTTCCCTGCGAATACAA